GTACTACAGGTAGGCCTACTAGGCCTAGGCTTTTGTTGTAAAAGTTGAAGTGCATGTACAGGATGCGCCATAGGCCTATATTTAAAAAAATACATTTTGTTAATTATTATTGGTTGGCCTGGGACGGACCTAAGCAGGCAGGCTGGGATTCGACGATGACGTCCGTGCACGTTTACAAACGCCATTAATTAGAATGAAAATAGACGCGCTGAATTTCGTTTTTTTCTTTTTTTTTTTATGAAAGATAGAATTTATCGAACATTTATCTACATAAAAACAAGAATAATATTGTAGAAATTGTATTTCTAAAGATGCATATAATTCATATTTCATTTTGTAGACAATAAATATTCAGTAAGATATACTAAAAACGATTATTAATTCTGAAATGTGCATCTCAGCTATTATTATTCAGTAGGCTATGTATTATGCTATAATAATTTCGAATTATGCTATATTTTGGGCTCTGACTTAATTTAACGATAGCCCTATCAGTAGTAATAACAGTATTTGTGCTTTTTTTAGCCATTTAGTAAAATAGTACTCTTTTTATGAGAGTCAAGAAGAAGTACGGTAGTAGAAGAAGAAGAAGAGGAGGAAAAAGAGGAAGAGCTTTTTTTTTTTGTTTTATAATAATAAACGTGTTGAGTATATTGATATTGATTATGCGATGAGGTTTTTTTTTAATATCTTTCGGTGTGATTTAAACATGCCAATTCTCAGAAAATATTTTCTAATTTATTATATTACCACCTTTTCATTACATAGATTTTTTCAAAACATAGGCCAAACTGCTTTTATAACATTATTATAGACCCATTAAACACTAAAACTGCTCTGGCCCCACCGTGGCCCCAGGTACCTGAACCCCACCAGGGGTGGCGCCAACGGGGGGGGGGGTAGGGACCCCGTCGGGGAGAAAAAGCACAATTCGTCGGGGAGAAAAAAAAAATTATATGTATTTTTTACATTAGTAGACTCTAATATCGATTTAATAAGCCTTTGAAACCCCTGAATTGTCAAAATTCGGGGGCCACTTTCTTTGTCCACTCAATCGAAGCTCGACCACGCCCCCTTTGCTTTCGTCGGGAAAATCTGCCCCCTCGTCGGGGCACCGCCCCCCCCCCCGGTCGGGGGCCACGCCCCCCCCCCCTCCCGTCGGGCAAATCATGGTGCCACCTCCTGACCCCACGCCCAGAGAACCCCCCCTTGAAATGACCTGGCTACGGGCCTGTTTTACCAATGTAACATTATTTTAGGTTCGCCTCGATGATACAGTAGATGCTTGATTTGCGACTCGGGCTGCTATAAATTTTTGTTTTTTCTTTTGTGGGATGAGTAAATAGTTTGACAACTGTGGTTTAAGTTTGCGTTGGTCTCTTAAGTTTAATCAGGAACCAAGTTTAAAAGTAAACATTTTATTTCAAACTAGACACTTAAAGTGTCTAAGAAAATATAACACACGTGTCTGCACATTTCTCTTGTCTGTGTGTTCTCTCCCAACATGTCGCGATTATGGCGATTTTATGCCACAAGGATAATAAAAATACAAGGCACAAAACAATACAACATTAGTGCTTAACACAGTAAGGGCATAATTGTTGGCAACAGGGTGCAGCCAATTATGCGTAGTACAATGTACGTAATACACCATTAATATTCCAAGATACAGATTGGAGTCATTTGGAAACGAAAACGTTCATTTACATATGCAGCACCTCGATTATGGAACGCTCTTCCTCATGATATCTAGACGTCAAAGAGTGTTATGATTTTCAAGAAGCGACTAAAAACCCAGCTGTTTGAGCGCCATTGAACATATTATATAGATACACGGCGCTATACAAGTTTTCTGATTGATTGATTGATTGATTGATTGATTGATTGATTGTCTGTACATACGATAATTAGTTTAAGCATGGAGGTAAGACATACCGAACGATTAGAAAAGAGATAACCTGTAATGGTAAATGAAGGGGACATAGCCGGCATTGGTTATAGCAATGAACGAAGGAAGACCTGCCAACTCGTGCCAATATAATAAACTTCACTACTGTTATTTTTTTCTTCTTTTTTTTTCATTTCCCTTTTCTTCGAAAACGTTTAGCTGATTTGAAGCTTGTACAGTCAGGCCGCTTGCACCAATATAAATCAATCTCCCCAGTGCGGGGGTAGCTTTGAATGTATACAGTCTCTCACGACCTACGACATAAAAAAACACCAGATAGATTTGTAAGCACACAAAGCTGTGACCTGACTAAACATTTCATTGCGCAAAAGTTGACTGCAGCCAATGGCGCACGGTTGCTTTTACTCTGTACGCGTATAATTCACACGAAAAATCGGCTGCGGTATTACTTACGTTCTAAATTGCTCATTTAAACCCAGGCTTTACATGCTTTACATACTAAGTCTAAGAAGTAATCGACATTGATTTAGATTTAATGACAAGGCCTAGTATAATTTCTCAATATTGATTTTGCAATACATTTTATGTCGTGTATTTTTCCCGAATTGATTCCTTGTACTGTATATATTAGCCTACTCATGTTTTACCATCATTTGTCAATTTTATTAGGGCTATTTTTAGAAGAAACCAATCCCCGCAGAGTACTTGATTTTTCAGTTTACATTTTATATTTAAAAAAAACATTGGTATTGAATGGGTTTAACTTAGAAATTTATGAGGTCAGCTGATGAGCAACGATCATCCCATGTTCCTGTCGTAAAAGAGGATTGTCGTCGTATAGTGTACTTGACATGATGTCAACAAGTCGTGCTTGAAGACTCCGCACGTCTATTTCCTAATACAGTCAATCATTTTAGAATGACAGATTAAAAGTGTCTCGCAGGCACGAAACATCCGTTGAACATAACATCGAATACACGAAATTCGCCATAATTAACCAATTTCACAACGCATTTGCTTTGCAGCTGACGCAACACGGGACGCAACATTAGCAACTATTAAAACGTATGCATTAATAAAATCCGTCATAGCCAACAACAAAGACCTGTATCGCAGAATGAAGCTTATGTATGATGACAAAATACTGTATCTGTCCACAGAAGGTTACTAAAATACCATAATCAAAATTTTAAATTCGTATTTTCGAAAAGGCCTACGATACATACGTGCCTATATCTCTGCTTGCCCTATCTTCCGTCAGTGATACGTGTTTTTCTTATTGGATCTCTATCCGTGACTGCCTTAGGTGTTTTTCTCGGTGCGTCTACATCTCATACATAGTGTGTCTGAAGACCAATGTCAGCTTCACTAGACCCATTATGTTTTAATGTTTAACTCTACCAGTATCAGCGTTGTCCAGCAGGTACGTGCTGGTATATTGCTTCTTATTTTATCGATGTACAGCAGAGTGATCCTCATGTACGGCCTATCTAAATATTTCAATCTCGTCCCTGATTCACAGATTCTGACAGTGCCCTTCCAAATTTGAATTTAAGCATCCTACCTTCCAGTTTTACTCCTGTTATACATATCACTTTCGAAACCGTACAGATACCATCGGATCATGAGTATGAAAAACAACAATAGGCCCTCCATACGTCATACGCAAGAACATTAAAATTAAGATCATAATCTCCATAAGGTTAAAAAAAATAATGATAAGGCCTGCATTCCTAAATGATTATGTTCTACACTACGAGCTTTACACATTTTAAATAGTTCACGCGCAATCTGTCGAAAAACACGTACGCTGAAGAAGACACGTAATTTATATCGTAATAACTACACAAAGCACGCTATCTATGCAAAAGACAGCGTAGAGAATAAAAAACATGATATTTACCCACGACTATTGAAGGTTAATACAATGTATTTTTATGGTGAGTAAAGTATCACGTAAGACTAATACTAGAAAAATCCAAACGCACTGTAATACACCGTTTACGAGAGACGAAAAACCTACCGAGCTGATGATCGGCTTCTCTGTCGGTTTCCATTCTTTGAAAGGTCAATAAACAGGCTGCCTCCTCCTTAGACTCACAGATCTGGTTTATAGATCGAAAGCTGGACTGATTTAAACACTAATCCCATACGCACGGGGAATACGTGCAATCAATACAACCTCTGGATTGAGGGCGCTATATAATAATGTGAAGATATCAGACAGTAATAATTATGCCCGAAGTTAACTCACTTCATAAAATTTCTAACTCACTTCATTCAGAAAAAATTTACCCCTTAAAGTAACTTAGGTCATAGTCATTTCCACTTTCTGCGCATAGAAAATATAATGTCCAAAGTAATTTGCAGCCAGAATAAAATCTCTGCAACTTACCAATTTTAGATAAGGCCCAATAAAAAAAAATGACCGGTTTATAACTCTCTCCCGCATGTCTTCTATATGGTATTGAAAAAAAAAAAACATTTTTGGAAAATTTGTTATTATTTTTTCATTTTTTTTTTTAGTAAATAATAGATATTGTTTGTATTATCTAAATCATGTATTTACTTTGATTATCAATGCACCAGCTAATAACCCAATGTCGACTTGGCTTTATCAAAAATAGAAAAATTAATGCTTCCTTTCCTTCATAATTTTTTCAGCCTAGATAATGTGGTTAACTAATAATTATTTTTATTGCGCCAATTTACTAGAAAGGTAATAATAAATGGTCTTTCCGGTCAATTGCAAGTAAGTGCTGAACAAGTTGAGACCAACCTTAACTCTGTATGATAGTTATGGAGATATTAAATGCCAGGTAATAGTATAATATTCCTTATTTTTGTAATGTACTGTTGTAGTTTGTTACACTGACCAATTAAATAATGTGGTTTAATAATTCAACCGCTTATTGGACAACTTAATGGAAATCTGTTTGCCAAATCTGACTACCCCAGGAATAAACTGACACTGTAAATTACTTGATGGTATAAAAAAAAAATTTAAAAACCGGGAAAAAAAACCGGGGGGGGGGGGGGAAACAGGGAAAAAAAACTGTAAGAGGGTCAAACTTGTGTGTGTGTGTGTGTGTGTGTGTGTGAACAGCGTAAAAACTTTCATGACTTTGAGGCGTGGTTGAGACTCATCACGCAAATACAAGGATTTTTCTACGTCTGCCAACCACCCAGTAAATTTTAGAAGCACTTGAAATTAGACCCGAACTTCGGCGCCACCAACTTTTGCGCGACAAACTTGTGTACGTGCAAAACTAGTGACTTCGGACACGATTTAATGATATCTTTTATTTTACCACAAAAGGCAAAAATAAAAACAGAATGATAAAAGTTAATAGTGAAATGGCAAAGCATCATCCGTACTGCAACAGACCCTCAGTATACGAATAGTGCCTGTGGTATTGGGAACAATTTATGATGTTTAGAAACATATGATAAACGATCGGTCGTAGAGGGAGGTAGCCTCTTGACAAACGAGAAAAACATTGACACAGATCCACCTCCTACCTTCCAGACTTTACTCATTAGTGAGTATTGACTTGTATTGGAAAGCCAGTTCTCATCGTTAAGCACGGTAACACGTACCTCATTCACAAAACTGTGTAGGCCTATATTAAAACGAACTAGGCAAGGCCCCACGCAGCTCAACTTGCAGAGGGTAGAACAAATTGTAGAAGACCAACGTTTTGGTCTCGTCACATATTCATGTTTATTTCAATTGTTGATTATAATTTGAAGATATAACGATAAAAACTAAATATCCCAGACCACCTGCAGTATTGGTAAATAGCTACCGTAATTTATTTTAGAAGTGTTGAGTGATAGACTTTTTACGAACTCCAAAACACCTATCCAATAATTATGGAAATTAATCGCCGTTCTACAATAAGCATTTTTTTATATCTATAAATAAAAACTGGTACTGTCGACTTGGCTTTATCAAAAATAGAAAAATAAATGCCTTCCTTTCCTTCATCATTTTTTCAGCCTAGATAATGTGGTTAACTAATAATTATTTTTATTGCGCCAATTTACTAAAAAGGTAATAATAAATGGTCTTTCCGGTCAATTGCAAGTAAGTGCTGAACAAGTTGGGACCAACCTTAACTCTGTATGATAGTTATGGAGATATTAAATGCCAGGTAATAGTATAATATTCCTTATTTTTGTAATGTACTGTTGTATTTTGTTACACTGACCAATTAAATAAATGTGGTTTAATAATTCAACCGCTTATTGGACAACTTAATGGAAATCTGTTTGCCAAATCTGACTACCCCAGGAATAAACTGACACTGTAAATTACTTGATGGTATAAAAAAAAATTTAAAAACCGGGAAAAAAAACCGGGGGGAAAAACAGGAAAAAAAAAACTGTAAGAGGGTCAAACTTTTGTGTGTGTGTGTGTGTGGGTGTGTGTGTGTGTGTGTGTGTGTGTGTGTGTGTGGGTGTGTGTGTGTGTGTGTGTGTGTGTGTGTGAAAAGCGTAAACACTTTCATGACTTTGAGGCGTGGTTGAGACTCATCACGCAAATACAAGGATTTTTCTACGTCTGCCAACCACCCAGTAAATTTTAGAAGCACTTGAAATTAGACCCGAACTTCGGCGCCATCAACTTTTGCGCGACAAACTTGTGTGCGTGCAAAACTAGTGACTTCGGACACGATTTAATGATATCTTTTATTTTACCACAAAAGGCAAAAATAAAAACAGAATGATAAAAGTTAATAGTGAAATGGTAAAGCATCATCCGTACTGCAACAGACCCTCAGTATACGAATAGTGCCTGTGGTATTGGGAACAATTTATGATGTTTAGAAACATATGATAAACGATCGGTCGTAGAGGGAGGTAGCCTCTTGACAAACGAGAAAAACATTGACACAGATCCACCTCCTACCTTCCAGACTTTACTCATTATTGAGTATTGACTTGTATTGGAAAGCCAGTTCTCATCGTTAAGCACGGTAACACGTACCTCATTCACAAAACTGTGTAGGCCTATATTAAAACGAACTAGGCAAGGCCCCACGCAGCTCAACTTGCAGAGGGTAGAACAAATTGTAGAAGACCAACGTTTTGGTCTCGTCACATATTCATGTTTATTTCAATTGTTGATTATAATTTGAAAATATAACGATAAAAACTAAATATCCCAGACCACCTGCAGTATTGGTAAATAGCTACCGTAATTTATTTTAGAAGTGTTGAGTGATAGACTTTTTACGAACTCCAAAACACCTATCCAATAATTATGGAAATTAATCGCCGTTCTACAATAAGCATTTTTTTATATCTATAAATAAAAACTGGTACTTATCGACCATACGACACTATTTGCAACTACTTTTTGGGTAGTTGCTAAATACAACGTGTTTAGACGAGGGACGCGCTTCGTATGTTGACGTCATGCATAATTTCAGCCACTGTTCGTGTTTCAGTTACAGTTCGTCCTCTACCCAGAGGTGCCGTGTTATGGAGAGTAATGTGTGACCGAAAATGGTCTGCAGTCAGTTGGTTGTTACCATGCGCCAGTGATGTTGGAGTATATAGTACAGCAATATGAAACTATTATGTAGGCCTAATGAATGAATAAAGTTCGGAGTCTGTCGGGTAGTGAAATGATTATTTCACATTTTAAATGCTCCCTAAGTTCATAAGTGTAAGCTAAATTACGGTGATTAATTTAATTAGCGAAGATATGGAGACAATTATTTCGAATCCCTCTTTCCAAGAGGGGATGCAAATGCTTTGTGAAAATGAGTACGCCGCGGTACT